CTCTCTCTCTCTCTCTCTGTGTGTGTGTGTGTGTGTGTGTGTGTGCCAGTGCCCACAGAGATACAGAGATTCCTTGGAACTAAAATTATAAAAGTGGTTGTAAGGGTGGTTGTGAACTGCTGGAAGAAGGTTCTGGAAGCAAACTTGTGTCCTCTGGGAAAGCAACAAACAGTTGCTGAGCTAAGAAAGAAAAAAGAGAGGAAAAGAAGAAAAGCCCTGTGTATAATAATTTCCCCACCAGGAATTTCTAATGTAGAAAGTATTGGGGCAGGAAGAAGAATCTTCTTTAGAAGGTCTCGAGTGAATTAAAACAAGCACCAACTTCTCCTCTTCCTATGCGGATGGATTCCTCATCCCTGGTCCCTTTATTACCCTCTGAGTCCTCATTGTATCCTTGCTATTCAATGCTCCTTCTTCATGTGCCTTTCACACTCTTCTCACGCATGCCTTGTGGGACCCCATCTCTCACCCACCCTTCCCCCTGTTTATTCCTGACTTCTGATGCAGTGAAGGAAAGTCTACCCTCAAGTATGGCTCCTTGACACACTTCCAAGCTGGAGAAAAACTGACCCTTCTGGTCCTCTGTCTTAGGGACTTGGGTGAAGGCTGCATTGTTCTGTGCCAGAAGATAAGGACACAGGAGGCTAGGAAGACTTACCAATTAAGTCCCCTTTAGTTGCTAAGTCACACACCCTTCTTGTTCACTCACACTTCTATATTGAGTGTCCCTTCCTCATCAAAGTAAGCAGAGGCCTACTCGTGTGCTGTTTAGGGTCAATAGCTATAAAAAGTAAAACAAGGTTCCCGGAAGCAGATTTACCGAACCAGTAGAAAATCTCTACCATGAGAAGTGAAAGACAAAAAGAGAGAAACTCAAGAGGACACATGTAGGGGACAAGATACCCCAGGTTTATGGCCTGGGAAAACAATGTTGCTAAAATGACGATGGCAATGCCCAGAGATCCCTGTCAAATTCCATGTCATCCCTATCAAACCATCAGTGATGTTCTGTGGAATAACAACAACAAAATCTGTTACTAGCCAAAGGATGTTTTGGAAAAAAGAATAAGACAAGGAAGTAGTAGACTGCCTGCCTTCGATAATGCTCTTGAACTATAATCATGAGAGCAGCCCGGCAAATGGCATTCAAAACAGACACAAGGAAAAATGAAGCAAAACAGCTATCTTAAAAGTAAAGCTATAAACATATAGATAACTGATTCTGACAAATGTGTAAAAAACAAATGTGTTGCAGAGTGAACAGGAACGATGCTGGGAAATTGGGTATCCACTTGGAAACAAATGAAAGCAGACCTCTGTCCATCACCAGTCACAGAAATCAACTGGAATTGGATTAAAATGTAAGTATTAGAACTGAAGCTATGAAAGTCCTAGAGGAACAAAAAAATTGAAGAAATCCCGCAGGACACTGAAATGGGCAAGGATCTTTTTAAACTCCCCAAAGCACAGGAAACAAGCAAACACAGACACACAGGGCTACGGCAAAGGGGACAGTCCTCAGGATGAGGAGACGACAGCCTGGAGTGGGGAGAGAAAGCTCACAAACTGTATGTCTGACAAGAGGTCAATATGTAGCATATACAAGGCACTCTAAAAATTTAAGAGCAAAAAATGTCAAATAACCCCAGCTTTTAAATGGGCAATAAACCCGAGAAGACACTGCTCAGAAGAAAACAGGGAAATGGCCAATTGATCGATGAAAACTGGCTTTAATGTCACTAATCAACCAGAAAGTGCAGATCAAAACCACACTGAGGCACCCTCTTCCTCTTCAAGTCAGAGTGAATATTATCAGAGACAACAGCTCTATCGGAGAAGGGGAGACAGGGGGAGGCTCGCATGATGTCCTCAGGAATGCAAATTGGTACATTAATGCAAAGTAGAAATAGAACTAACCTCCAGGAACCACACTTTTGTTTATAGGTTAAAAAAAAAAAGTCAGTGAAGTCCCTGGATGTTGAAGAAACATCCCATGTTTGGTGCAGCTTTGCTCACACCAGCTGTAAAATGGAGCAACTTAAGTAACTGGTAATTAACAACAGATAAAAGACAATGCTTATGCACAGTGGAATCTGATTCAGCCACAAAAAGAATGAAATCCTCTCATTAGACACAGCATGTATTACGGAAAATGAAACAAGCCAGGTACAGAAAGAAAAGTTTCGTGTGATCTTAGTCGTATGTGGTAAATAGGAAGATTGGCATCAGGGCTGGAGAGGTAGCTCTGTGGTAAGAGCACTTGCTGCTCTTATGGAGGACCCAGGATCAGTTCCCAGCACCCATATGGTGGCCCACAGCAAGGGATCCAATGCTCCTTTCTTGCCTCCACAGGCACCAAGCACACATGTTGTGCACGTACCTGCATGCAGACAAAACACTTATATCCTTAAGAATAAACACGTCTTCTTTTAAGTGTTGATTTCAGGGAAGTTGGAAAAGGAATGGCAAGCTCTCTGAGGTTCACGTGACTGGAAGGAAGGGTGCTGTTACAAACAATACATATGTCTGCATGTAAGCATTATATAGCAGGTCTACAACGTAGGGGGTTCTATGTTTCTTTCAATGAAAAAATTAATTAAAATAAAAATTATGCAGTTTCCCTAGGTCTTGGGAGGTTTTCAAAGATCATTAGTCAATGAAAACATAAATATTGCATTTAGCTCAATTCTACAGTGCACTTATCAGGACATTCAGATGGACAGAGGTACAAGGAACAAAGAATAGCAGGACTACATTTGGCTGAATGTAGTAAAATTTCTTAGCTGGAAAGGAAACGCTCTCTCTCTTTCCTGTTTTCTCTCTTCTTTTAAAGTTTGCATAAGTTGATCTAAAACAATCAAGCATCTTTGCAATGCAAGGCATACTTTTGTTCCCTCTGGTCTTGGAGCTCTATCTGATTTTAATCAGCACTGGTCTGATATGATTCAAAACAGCTGACGCTAAATTTCCCTTTTAAAATCTCTCTCCTAAACTGGAGCTGTTGGGCAGCCCCACCTAGTCTAAGGCCCTTCCGCAAGGCAGTCTTATCAGGTACAAATATTGGGGTTATGAGTTTTAAACGCCCCCTCCCCAATGTTTCAATGTCCTGCGGAGTTCTCTGTGATTTAAAAGTCTTGTTAAGTGTAATAGAGCTAGTTCTTGATTATCTACAAAAGAGGAAATGAATAGTGGCACAGATAATCCAAAACAGCAAAACAATCAAAAATGCTTCTTACATCTACTCTGGAATGCTTTGTATGGCTTTTGGGGATTGAGGCTTCCCTTCCCAGCGATGGTGTGCTCAGGACAAAGTCAAAATGAGTTTGCATTCCCTAAGCCCACAGCACATAGCTGGGGGGTGGGGGGTGGAGCAGCCACATGCTGGGTGGCAGGGAGAAGGCAGCCTGGAATCTGAGGGAGAGCATTCCATGGAGACTGGAGATGTGGAAAATGCCTATATGAATAATTAAGTGCTGACTGGAATGTAAACCAGCCTTGTAAATGAGCAAGGGGTGTTTTTCTAGCCCACATTACTTAAAACATCAGGTTATCATCTTTAGAACTAGTAAACTGGTAGGAAAAAATGATCTCAAAGTTCTTGACTTCTCACAGTCCACTGATGCTGGTGCTCTGTGGAGTCAAGACCCATCACCGAGGCCTTGGGGTCAGTCCACGGCCAGCACAGTCTAGTTCCACCCTTCAAACTTTTCCATTTAGAAGTGGGTAGCTTTATCATGTACCAGCTTGTACCATTGTCTATTCTATTGATAGCCATTCCTGTTTTATGCATGAGAAAACTAATTCACAAAAAAACTAAGTTTACAAAGCTGATCGCTAGAGACATTAACTTTGAAGTTAAGATGATTTTTTTCTGGTTTGGGTAACTATATTATGAGTCAAAATTTAAGAAGCTCCATTGTTCTGCTCAAAATGAAACTTTTGTTAGAATTTTAATCATTGTTTTGATGTTTATGGGGTTCTTCCTTTAATGTTTTTAGGAAGTTAAATCAGTTAAATAATTTTATTAGTTCTAAATACATTGATCAGATAAATGGGTTGATGAACTAGCGAGCTAGATGATGGATATTATTGACATTGTATTATGACCCAAAACTTAATAATGCTTACATATAATACCTTTCATCTGGGAGATTTCTGTTGAGAACAAGATATAATAGATAGGATGGGGTGGGATACGATAGAACCGAACAGAGGAGGAAAAGGGAGAGGAAGGAAAAGGAAAAGAGGAGACAAGAACAGAAGTGGGAAAGGGGGTAAGAAGAGGAGGAAAGGGGAAAAAGAGAAGACAGAAGAGGAGGAAGAGAGAAGAAAAGCTGGATAAGATAGATACAAGAAAGGGCAGGGAGAGTCAAATCTCATTGAGATGGGGCAAAACGCAGAAAGGACTTCGAAGAGGATGAATAAATGAACAGATGCAGTCAGTAGGCAGTTAGAATGTCACGTGTACAATATTCCTACAGTTACCAAGCACACAGTGCTGTTGAAATAGGCCATAACAATTGGAGATCATCTTATCATGGTCTCTGATGTGGGTGGGATTGGGTGGTATTTTGATTCCTAGTTGATGTGATGAAATGCAATGATAGAAAATTGAGAAAGAGGAAGAAAAGCCTATAAGAAACAGAAGGGGGGAAAGACTAGTAGGAATGCCATCTTCTGGCCAGGATGCAGCCATTCCAATCATAAACTCAATGCAGCTGTGCTCGCCGACACTGAGCCTGCAAAAGAATGCACCAGTCTGCATACTAACCATGCTAACCATGGTGGGGAACGAAAGGTAAAAGAATGCCCAGTCTGCGTGCCCCACCTGAACTAGTGGGCACCAATGGATTCTGGGAATTGGGGGATCACTGCCATCAGTTGAGTAACCACTGATGAACCCATCAGGCTTAAATGGCGAGTTTCAAACCTGTGGTCACACAGAAAATGAAACAAACAAACAAACACCCAAGAAATTGAATATGGGAAAGGGACTTGTATAAAAGAGATGGGATTGATAGGGATGGGAGAAAAACAATGGAGGGTAGATGGCAACATTAATCAGAATGCATTGTACACATGCGTAAAGATGCCAAAGAACAGATTTAATTAGAAACTAAATTGCATGAGAGCGAACACTCTGACAAAAACAAGTTAAAGGAGAAGGGGTTTATTTGGTTCATAGTTCCAGGTGACAGCCCGTCAGTGCAGAGGAGTCAAGGTGGCAGGAAGCTGAAGCAGCTGACACACCACATCTATAACCAGGCAATGGTTATAGATGGATTAATGCATGCACCTGAGTGTCCAGCTTTCTGTCTCTATTTTGCACAGTTCAGGAATAGTGCCACATACAGTGGGTGGCCCCTTCCTTCCACATCTATTATTATAACGAAGATAACTCTCACAGACATTCCCATAGGTCAACCTTGTCCAGAAAACCCCTGGTGAAATGATTCCCTTCCTGAGTGGTTCTAGATTGCGTCAAGTTAACAATTAAAACTAAACTCACAAACAGGATTCCAGGTGGAAGGAAGACCACAGGTGCAGGACAGAGAACTTTAGATGTGTTCAGAGAACCACGAAATGATCTGAAAGTGATTTTGCCCAGGAAAAGTAGATACAAGCAAGAAGTACAATAATTACAGCAGTAAAGTTGTCTACATGGCCAGTTTTTGACATAAAAGACACCATGTTGGAGGAAAATACAATGAGAGGTAAGACAGGAGAAAGGAAAGCCATTAAAACCCACCCATGCTTGCAGCTCAATGATAGAGCACTTGTCTAGCATGTGTAAGTCCCAGGTTCCACTTCCAGCACTGATGTGGCAAAGAAAAGAACTCTTCATGTTATTACACATTTTAGGAAACACAAATGCTCACATTGTTATGCATCTCATGACAATGATTTGAGTGCTGAAAGAAAATGAGAAGAATAGACCCACAGATTCAGATCACCCATTGGAAGTGGATCCTGAAAATCATGTCTACTGACTTGGTGACCTGCTGCTAGTCACCCTGGCTCTGGGACATGTTATCTCCAAGGCTAAGATTTGGAGAAGATTCAGATTCATATTTGGATAGACACTAGGGATACTATAATTCTTATACTAGACACTAGACATGGCTCGAAGCTTATAGACTTAGTTTTATAGAATTGGTTCTTGAAAATTCCATGGCCATCTGAGCAATATTGCATTCCTTTCACACACAGACTGTTTCTGTCTTACCTTGACCACCTCCTTCTCCTCTAACCCATGACCATTTTTACCATCTCAAACCTGATTTTACCCATACCAAATATATATATAGCAAAAGACACAGTTATTCACCTCTACATATGTTTTCTATCTCCTGGGATGGTC